CGTTTGCCTCTGGAAGGGCTGCAAGGTGTACAACACTCCCTCCACCAGCCAGAGCTGGCTCCAGCGGCACATGCTGACACACAGCGGCGACAAGCCCTTTAAGGTACGCCGTCCGTGTCCCCCCCCGCGCTCTTGGGGTTCCCTCGCGTGGCCTCGGTGTCAGTGCAGCTCCTCACTGTGTCATGCTGATACTCACGCCCCCGTCTGTTGGTGCGGGATTGACTCCTGACCCCCAGTCTCCCTCCCCTCCCCCCACAGTGCGTGGTCGGCGGCTGCAATGCCAGCTTCGCCTCCCAGGGGGGGCTGGCGCGCCACGTACCCACCCACTTCAGCCAACAGAACTCCTCCAAGGTGTCCAGCCAGCCCAAGGGCAAGGAGGAGTCGCCCTCCAAAGCGGGCATCAACAAGAGGAAGAAGCTGAGGAACAAGCGCCGACGCTCCCTGCGTACGCAGCCGCTTTTACCGCCGCTATCGCTGTCATGCCGATTGGGTGCTCCATAGTTTCAGCCCCTCCCCTTTTGTGAGATTTAACCATATCTTTTGAAGTACTTTCCTCAAGCACATGCACTTTTGCCCTGAGGTGTCCCACTGTCCTCTGGGCTGAGCTCCGCAGCCTGTCTTGGCTGTTGCATTGGGCCTGCGGAAGACGGCGATGTCATCCTCCATATCTGCCGTCCTTGCCCTCCCCGTGTGTGACATGGCTGTCTGTCACATGACCCTTTGTAGCCTGGCCGAGTGGTTGGTTTTCTGCCTGCCATCTCTGTAAAGCCGCCTGTCCTGTCAGGCCCCGTGTGCGTCCCTGTGTGTCTGATGGTCTGTCAGCTCTCTCCCGTGCTGAGGGTGTGCGTGAGGTGTGCTGTCTGCGTCTCCGCGTCTCTGCTATAGCTCCATCTGGGGCTTTGAGGAGGCATGTTCCTGTGTGTGATGATGGCCCCTCTACCCCCCCCCCCCCACAGCACGACCACATGACTTCTTCGACGCCCAGACCATGGACGCCATTAGGCACCGAGCCATCTGCCTGAACCTGGCCACGCACATCGAGAGCCTGGGCAGCGGTCACAGCGTGGTCTTTCACAGCACGGTGAGGTGCTGGGCCCCTTGGGGGGGCTCCCCGCAGTCTGGAGACGTGCCCTTTTTTTCTGAATGGCTGTATCTGAAAATGTTTGCAGTGAATGTTTCTGTCTTCTGCTCATCTTGCTATAGCAATTGAAACTAACCTGCTACAGCCGTCTGTCGTCACCCTCATCTGTTTATCTGCCTGTGAGCTGAGGCACTTGGAGGGTGAGGGTCAGTGATTTGGAGGAGAATCACTGTGTTCCCAGTCCAGCCTGCAGGTGGCAGCAGAGTTAGTTTTATTAATGGCGCTGCAGCACCATTCATAATGTTTGCTGGGTGGTTTTTTTTTTGGAGATGGGGGCAGTGTTTTGGATTTTTTTTTGGATGACTTCTTTAATATGTAAAGTGCTCTATCTTGAGTGTACAACATGTGGGTTCCCACCCCCGCCGTAATCTAAAAGCCTAATCCACTGTACAGCCGCGTTTCTGAATGAGAGCACTCTGATTAGTGCTGAAGGCATCATTTTTGGGAGGGGGGGGGGCATTTTAAAGCCACTCTGGAGGGGTTTTGTGCATGGACTCACATGGACCCGTGAGATTGCATTATCCATGGCCTGTCACACCTCATTCATAAATATCCAGCTTCTCATAGTCCCTGTCCAATGGATGCATACTTTCATTGTAAGGTAGTTTCTTTCTTAATTTAAAAGAGAGACCAGCATAGCGGGAGAACATTTTAAAACGAACTTGAGGAAGCACTTCTTTACACAGCGTGTAGTTAGAGTATGGAATAGTCTTCCTGCTAGTGTAGCGGAAGCTAAAACCCGGGGTTCCTTTAAATCAGAGCTAGATAAGATTTTAACAACTCTGAGATATTAGCTAAGTTCTCCCCAAACGAGCTTGATGGGCCAAAAGGCCTCCTCTCGTTTGTAAATTTCTTATGTTCTTATTCTCCAATTAGTCCTTGCCAATTTTTTTTAAGCCTGGTATAAATGGAATACATTCTGCATTCAGTTCCTGCAGTTCACTTGGTTGTACATTAGAGGGCAGTGTGGTCCCTTGTGAGTGTTTTAAAGTAGAAGATTTCTTTTTCTATTGTTGAGGAAGAAGAACAGGTCATCCATCTTTCTGCTTTAAGTCTGCTTTGTGTCCCTGCTAAGACTAGTGTTACCGGATTCTGGACATATCCCCATCATGTTGTGTGCATGATCAGCGCATTAGTGTTGATGCCTTTCTAACTTTACATTTTACATTGTGGTTACCTGCCCGTGTTTGAGAACTGTAGTGAGTTTACTTTCTGTTGGTCTAGAATGTTAAAAGCTACCAGAGTGTTTTTCTTGAGTTTGGCAGGACTTAAGAGGGCCTTCTTGTACCTGTGCAGAGAGCTCCGATTATTTCTGCAGGACCGTAGCGATGGTTATGAGGCAGAATGACAGATCTTTGATTTCTGTGATGTAATAGTGGGGCTTTGTCTCGCAGTATGGTAAACGAGCATGTACACAGCCTTCTCAGAGGCTGCTGCATAGGCATGTCAAATTCATGCTGGGATTCATCTGCGAAGAGCTCTGTTCTGTTGAGAGAGACCCTGTTTTTGTCTGTCAGTGCACGTCAAGTGAAATATGCAGAGATGATGTGCAGCTGGGTTTCGAAAGGATGATCCGCCTCACGTGGAAGGGGGGGGGGCATTTACCTGGGCAGGCTGCTGTGGGCCTGTGTGACTCGCGCATTAGCATGTTAGCAGTACTGGCCAGCTAGCCCAGCAGACCAGCATGTTTTAGACATGGAGGCCCTGTGTGTTAGTGGTGTGGCGGGTCGAGGTATGTCGCCGAAGCTGCACTGGGCCTCTCCCGCCGCTTGAGAGATTCCTGGGAGAATCAGGAGACAAACACAGGCAGGATGGTGTCAGTCCGGGCATGATGGAGATGAGCAGGAGGAGCCTGGGTGGCATTGATTGAACTGCAGGCAAAAACTTAGCCCAACTTCCGAGGCTCTCTTCACCAGCAGGAGGTGGTGGGTAAAATAGACCAGGGGAGCACGTCCTCCACACGCAGGTGAAGGAAGCCCGGGCTGCAGCACAGACACTGCTCGCGGGCTCCTCTAGACGTCCGAGCCGAGTGCCGATTTAAATGTTTTTGTTTTACTTCCAAAGTGCGTCATTGCTCACCTCTGGCACGTCAAAGTCAGGGGCTTCTAAATTAGACATGCTGCTCTTTCTCTTGTCTGCGCTTCTCTGATCTGAAACTTCTTTCATCAACAAACACCCCCCCCCCCATCAGGCTCTCTCATTGGCTGGGCCTGGTTGGCTTCGGGGCATGCAGATCACTGTCGTCGTGCTGGTTAAACACATCCCACGCTTCCGACTTGCTGTTAGGGCTCAGGTGCTCTGAAAGCTGCCTTGCTGGCTGCATTCTGGTTGCCCGTTATTGTTATTTCCAGCATGTTGAACTGGCCCAGGTTGCCTTGTGTGTAAAACACTCCATGCTGTTTGCAGTCCTCTCCCGTCCCTTAGAGATGCAGCCCATTGTCTGTTGGTGGCGCTGTGGCGCCATCGTGGCCCCCTTTGGTGTGCCAAGCCCTCAGGTCCCTTAATTACGGAGAACATCCCCCCCCCGCAAATAACTGGAGTTCCTCTGCCGGTAGCATAACAAACAGGAGTGTGGGGGCAGGGCAGGACTCCTCCAAGGGGCATGAGGGGAGTGTGGCTGGGCCGCGTGAGTTAAGTTTGGGCCAGACTAAGTGTGAGGGGGGGGTTAATGCAGTCCCCCCCCCTTTCGAGCAGCTCTGTTCAGCACACCCCAAGTGTTGCTGCGTTCCTGTTCAGGCAGCAGCTGCAAAGTCGTGTGCTGTGGCTTTTATTAAAAAAAGAAAAAAAAACTGGTTAGCTGGACAGACGTCAGAGCACTAATGTGGAAAACCACTCTATCTCCCGGCTCCTCCTGGCCCCCCCCCGCCCCCCAGCCCCATGCGCGCACGAGCCTCGCTAATTGTGGCCCGTATCACGGTTTCCCAGGGAGACGCCAGCAGGGCTGCTGGTAGTGCAGCCGTGGAGAGAGCCTCCACACCACTGCACTGGTACCCGAGTACAAACTGCTGATGGCCCACTGATGGCGGGCCCTGTGTGTTTAAAGGGTTCTGCAGAGGCGGCCAGGAAGCTGCCATGTTTGGGTCAGACATCAGTGAGTGGCTGGGTGGGAGCAGGGGGCGGGGCCAGCGGTGTGCAGAGCTCCAGTGAGAACCAGCCTGACGTTGGTCTGGGTTCTCCAGCCAATGAGAGGCACCCGAGCAGCTTGGGCCCATCTCCCACTTGCGACATGGTTTCCCCAAATTTCTCCCAATTTGCCCCCAGCCTGCAGTGCATTGATCATCTCAGCTGCAGCTGGACTGCAATAGAAAGTGATTGTTTTTCATGTTCAGATGAAATAACTTTCCCCAGCTGAAAGCTCCTCACTCCCCCCTCATCACCAAACAGATTACTGTCCTTCAGCCACTTTTCATGAATGCCTTTTAAGTCTCCTGAGTGAGTTTTATTTTTATAGTTCATGTGCGTAAGAAGCATGCTTCGCGAGCTTTGGCGCGGCTGCAGTATAAATAGGTGCGTTAAAATAAAACTCTGACGTGGGATTTGCTCCCCCTCCCCCCCACCTCTTTTCAGTGAAAGAGGATTTCTGCTTTATCGCCTGTGCTGTGAGTTGAAACAGCAGGAAACGCGGCCCCCGAAATGACTGTTTTTCCAGTAAGCGGTGGTCCAGTGGTGTCAAACCATTTCACCCAGTAAGAATGGAACGGCCCAGAGAGGGATACACTGTGCTCCGTCACGGCTGGCTTGTGTGTGCCTTCCATTGTGTGTTAGGACAGCCTGGCTGGGTGTCTGCCTTGTGTCCAGATGGGTAGCGCTTACCTCAGGCGGGTCCTCCGGGCTCCACCGAACATGGCTGACACAAGCAGTTCAGGTCTGGGTTGTGTTGTTACACTTTGAATTAGGGAACAGATCAATCGGCCAGTGATCGGAATGGGCCAATTTTCAGCCTGATCGGCCTGATCGGTGGTCGGCCGATCAGTCTCACGTATTTCCGATTACGAACCGATCTTGCGCATGCACAATAAATCAAAATTCGCTATCTGCAGCAAGTGTAAGGGCCAGGTACACCCTGGGGAAACCAACACAAAGACATTTAACACAGCAAATTTAATTAGACATTTAAAAACACATCACCCCAGTGAACACGCTGAGTTTGTAGAAGCTAGCAAAGAAAAGCATGTTGGAAGCCATCTAGGAGCCAGCAGTCTGTGCTGTCTTTCGTTGGTATAAGCCAGCAGTCTGTGCTGGTATAAGCCAGCAGTCTGTGCTGTCGTTCGTTGGTATAAGCCAGGGGTGTCCACTACTTTAGTTGTAGTTTGTTTTAGTTTAATTTATTTGAAATTGTAAAGTTTAATAAGAGTTTATGAAAATAAAGTTTTGAGGTGAAGAAAATGTGATTTTTGTATGTATTTGCTGTTCTCGGGGCAAAAATCAGTATTGGAAAAATTGGTGTCGGCCAATCGCACATACCAAAAAATCGGTAATCGGGATTGGCCAAGAAAATTGCAATCAGTACATCCCTACTTTTAATGATAAACCTTGATAATATCCGAACATAAAACGGGGGCTGTGTTTGGGTTAGAGCACAGTGTCAGAAGGTCATGGGTTCAAGTCCCAGACTCATCAGAGTGATGTCACCATTGGGCTCCTGAGCGAGGCCCTTAATCCGCAGTTGCTCCAGGAACTGTCTGACGCTGCTTTCTCAAAAGAAAGTGTCTTTTGGGATTAACAGCATCTGCCAAATAAATGTAAATGTAAAATGTGAAGCACATTCTTTAAGCTGCTGGTGTAGGATCTCGCCCTTTGGGAGATGTTCTCCTAACATGTCTGCACTTGCTTGGCCTGCGGCTTCGGCACTGGTTTATGTGGCGCTTTTCCTTGCCGGGTCTGCTGTTCCCCCTCACGTCGGCGCTCTTATCAGAAACCCCGTGTGCCGTGCGGACCGGGCCCTGGCTATAAAGAGTGGCTGGGGTATATCCCACCTGTGCGCTTAATGGGTCGGGCTCTGGACTCTCACATGTGATGTGGATTGGCGTGTGTCTCCTGGGCTAGGGTGCTGTGCCTGTCATCGGAAGGTCACCGGTTTGAATCACGGGGTCGGTAGAATGATGTCACTATTGGGCCCCTGAGTGAGGCCCTTAAGTGCTAGTGACCCTGCTTTCTCGATTGTGTGTTGCTTTGGATAAAACTGACTACTAAATATATTAGGTGTCAAATAGAGAAGCTGAAGTGTGTCTGTCATTCTGTTATGCATCCTGGGAAATGGCTTTGATTGAACCCCCTCTCTCTCCCAGGTAATAGCGAGGCGAAAGGAGGATTCTGGGAAGGTCAAGGTCCTCCTTCATTGGACTCCAGAAGACATGTGAGTACTGCCCGCCTACACTGGCCGCGCCCCCTACCGGCGTCGGCGCTGTTTACCCTGCGTTAGTCGCGAGATGGTGACCTCATCACTGACATTACTGCTCGTTCATGAACGGTAGTGGTTCAGGTGTGTGGTTTTGTGCAGTTTGCAGCCTGTTTGTCCATCTCCGTACGCCCTGTCACCTCTCCACAAAGTTAGGGCTGCTGGTTTACATTTCGAAGTTTCACTTTCAGTTTAAGGAGATGATGTGTATTTCAGCGCAGGTCCTCTAAGTCCTGCTGTATTTTGAACAAATGGTCTGATTAGTCTGTTAAAATTTTCAGCACACGATTGGTCAGTTCTGGTGACTGAGGCAACGTAGAGGCTGGTGAGGCCACACCCCTTTCCAGCTTCTGATCGTGGGAGGCGCAAGGGGGAGTGAATGGGCATGGGGGGGACATCCGAAATATTTAGCATGGCACATCCCGGATTATACTCCCAGTGCAGACCTTTTTTTAATATTTTTCATTTTGTGTGTGTGTGTGTGTGTGTGTGTGTGTGTGTGTTTTTAATTACTTGGCAGCAAAGTAACGCAGTTACTCAGGCATCTGTGTGAATTAAATTTCCACATCTTTGGTTTTCTTTGAGACTCTGTGATGGTGGGGCAGCGTGTAACGTTGATCACATGACTTCTATGGCCTCATATACGACCATATACACATATAGCTGAGACGGATTGGTCCTTGTGGTTTTTTTAAATTTTTTTAATGAGGCTGGTAGTGGGGGCCGGGGGGTGGCGCAGGGTGGGGGGCTTAGCAGATGATCCCAGCAGATGATACCAGCGTGTCCCCTGTAGAGGCAGCAGAGTAAATTTGATAGTTAAGTGTAATTTCAGCAACCTGGAAACAGGATAAATGCGGATACTGCCTCTCGTCAGGCGGCCAGACCCTTCAGGGGGGGGTGCTGCTGTTTTGTGTTTTGTGCCACACCTGATTCAACTCTGCATGCTAAACTTTGGTCTTATTGAAGTGAACGGCAAAGGTCACGCAGAGGTAGCAGTGATTAGTCTGAGCCTTTGTCAGCTTGTGTCCACATGATGGCAGCTCCCTGTTTTTTTTTTTCCCTTTGGGGGGGGGGGGGTAGCAATGAGGCCTGTTTCATTGATGGATAGATGGACAGGCACTCTGTCTGTCTCTTTCTCCGTCTCTCTCTCTTTGTCTCTGTCTCCCTCTTTCTGTCTCTGTCTCCCTCTTTCTGTCTCTGTCTCCCTCTTTCTGTCTCTGTCTCCCTCTTTCTGTCTCTGTCTCCCTCTCTCTGTCTCTGTCTCCCTCTCTCTGTCTCCGTCTCCCTCTCTCTTTCTCTGTCTCCCTCTCTTTCTCTGTCTCCCTCTCTTTCTCTGTCTCCCTCTCTTTCTCTGTCTCCCTCTCTTTCTCTGTCTCCCTCTCTCTCTCTGTCTCTGTCTCCCTCTCCGTCTGTCTCTGTCTCCCTCTCCGTCTGTCTCTGTCTCCCTCTCCGTCTGTCTCTGTCTCCCTCTCCGTCTGTCTCCCTCTCCCTCTCTCTGTCTCCCTCTCTCTGTCTCTCTCTCTTTCTCTCTGTCCCTTTAGCCAACTGGCCTTCCTAGTCATAAAGCAGCATGAGAAGATAGCTAGCTGCTTCATGCACTGTGCTGCAGGCCCCTTGAGGCAGGCAGGATGACCCTGATGGTGCTCAGTCATTCGAGACAGAGGAAAATGAGGTTTGCTCGTCTTCAGTCGTCAGCTGGATGCGGAACCCGACACCGCTGGCTGACGTTGGAGCCGCGGGCGGCTGGAATTCTAGAGCCCTTTTGACGTCACCTGGGGAGGCTGTGCGGCACTGAGGTAGAGGGGCTTCGGTACCGTGCTGGTGAACATCTGCAGAACGTCCTCTTCAGATTGAACATTCACATTTCAGTCCAGAATCGTTCATTTTTAGGAAATGTCTGGGTGACATTCTTTAAGCCTGCTGGTTCAAAATTTTACGCTGATTTTTGATTCTGATGTGGTAGCTGAGGTTGATTTAACATGAAATTACTCTGCAAGAGGATCCTGCGATATTTTCCCACGAGAAGAGTCCCACTTAAGGTGAATGCCGGATTTATATTACATTTACTCATTTAGTAGACATGTTTGTCCAAAGTGACGTATAAGTGAGGATCAAGAGCTGGATCAGTCGGTCCCGGAAGCAGACAGGGCTGAGAGCCTGACGATGGGCAGCACTGTACCAGCCCTGGTGTCACGGAGCAACACCCATTTGTGAAACAAAGCAGTACGTGTTGATTGCTCATACAACCAGCTTTGAGGAGGCAAGCAGTGTGATATCAGTCATGTGATTAATGCAGTCCCACCACCACAGCAAGTCTGTACTGTAGGAGGAATTAGACTGCAGATTTCAGGCCATAACCTTCCTAAGAAAGGTGACTCAAGGTGTTTGTATAAAGAGCAAATACATTAACGTCAACACGGACTTGTGTGAAAACTGCAGTGCCCTCATGGTTATACGGTAATTTAAGAAGGTAGATACTGTTCATGTGATTAAGACAGACATATGGGCTATTTAATTATTAGTATAGATTTAAATGGTTTCTAATTGGATGTGAAGGCAGAATGGTGATCCCACTGACACTCTGCAGAAGCTGTTCCGTAAACCAGTCTTACAGTTTGGATGGGCAGGCCTGCTGACGGACAGACTGCTTTAGCAATCCGACCCTCATTGCCTTAATTAGAATTGATTGATTTTCAAATGAGCTGGTTTGTGTTGGTTCCCCTAGTGGTGTTGGACAGGCAAGGGGATTCTTCCTTTGGTGTAGCGCTTCCTGGGATTACAGCCCTTGTCAACCGTCGATCCGAGCCAGAGGAATGCAGGAAGTGTGCTCGACAATAATGTGGAAAGGTTTTTCTCTCTGGAGACTTCATTTTTAATATAATTTTATAAATGGGTCAGAGAAAAAATCCAGCCAAACAGCACTGTGGCTTGTAGTGGCGGGCTGGGCCTGTGGCCCCTCACAGCCAGTCTGTTGAATGTATCGCACTAAGAGGCAGAACCCAAGGACAGAATCTCCCTCCTGCAAGGATCATTCCTCAGCTGGTGTTGGGTACGATGCTCCTTCAGAAGTTCCTCCCCCTGCCTGCACATGGTTTAATTCTCATCAGTCCGTGCAAACACACATGCACGCGCATCCTTTATACCAGAAGATCTTGTTTCAGTGGGTCATTAGTCGATAGCACAGTTGTTATGGCAAGTCCTGAGAAGGTCTGATTTGTGTGCAGTTATTGCAGCCCCCAGGGGGTTCTTCAGTTCCTGGGGGGCTGTTTATTTTATGCCTCTCCTGGTTCTCTTAGGTTAGCCTTCTCTTGTTTGAGTACGTCATTCCACCCAGGTGTGGCGCTGTTCTGTTAGCCTGTCCGCGTTCTGGCCGGTGCACAGCGCTCACCCCCAAGCGTGTCCTGGCCTGGAGTCTGTCCGCTTTTCCTACGACTGAACACGCCAGCTTTTGTGCGGACGCATGTGTCTTGACGTCGCTCGGCGTTGTTTTTGGAACGTGACCAGACTCGGTCGTCGTCTACGCCGTGTTCGCGCTCAGACCCTGGTTTGGCCTGCTGTAAATCATCATTCTTTTTTCCCTGTGAGTGGAGGTGTGAGTCCGGACTCCTTCTCTCCAGTGCTGCCTCTGTTTAGTCTCCTCACCTTACCCTGTCTCCACAGGCCCTGTGTGTGTTTTGCTCCTGCACATTGTCATGCTGAGATGGGCCACCCACTGCCTCTGCGCTCCCTGCACTTAGAGATACTTTCTCCATGGATTATTTTGATTTTCTCCGCTGGCTGTGCAGGAACAGGAATTAAATGTTTACTTGTCGATCTCCCTCTTGGACAGACACTGTTTTACACTGTCCCCCCCCCACCCCCCAAGTCCCCCACCCCCCCAGGGAATGGTAGCTTAATTTGTACTTTAAGATCTGTAGACAGTACCTGGGGGCTCTCTGTGACAGGGATTTACCAGTGGGGGGTGCTGCTCACATGATTCGCAGTCACCATCGTACACATATAAACCCTAACGCATGTGTGCCCAAAGCGGGCAACTTTCTCTGTGTCCGGGTCAGACTTGGCCAGCAGGATCCGTGACATACTTTCGGGCGTCCGAGAGGCTCTGGTCTGACCATGCCATGATTCTCTCCCTCTCCCTTTAGTTTGCCAGACGTGTGGGTGAGTGAGACTGACAGGCCGCAGCTGAAGACGAAGGTGGTGCACTTATCTCAGCTTCCACACGACACGGCCGTGCTGCTGGACCCCAACATCTATAGGTGAGTGCCGGCCGCCTGAGCGCATGTGCAGTGAGGCTGCATTTTGCCAGGACCGACGTGGGGGGGGGGGGCGGAGCATGGGGAAGGGACCAAAACTGGTGAGGTTCTCTGCAGCTCCTGGGCTGTGGCTGAATGCCCCGATGGTGAACCAGCCAGTACTTGATGGGCATCGTCGGGCTGCTCACGCTTCCCAAACTTTCCTATTACTGCTCTCTGCTAAGGTCAAGAGTCAGAATTCTTTTCATGCCCAGTATTCCCAGTACACAGCCTCCAGTCCTTTGCTGGCATGTGTGAGGAATGTCTCTATTGGCCCTTCTGTTAGTCTAGTAATAGAAGTGCTATGAGGACGGCCGTGCCCCTGCTGGGTAGGTAGGTGTGTGTATCTGACTGCCGCTCCTCACAGCGTTAATGGGCCAGTTAAGTCCTCTGCCCTCCTTTCCTATGCTGACGTCGGATGCCCCCCCCCCCCCCCCCCCCCCCCCCCATGACCTTTGCTGTGTCCCGCCGCTTCCCGGTGAGGTCTGGCTAATACAGAACAGCAGCTAATGAATAACACACCTCAGACTCCCTGCTAGTGCCCGCCTGTGACGCGGAGCCCATCCCAGCTCTCCCAGCATTCCTGGGCTCCGGTGAGCCCTGGATGACCTTTACTTGACAAACAATTTGACTTCAGATTGATGAGTGATGCGCCTTTGGCTGCCGTCTTCGTGTGCTTTTCTTCATTATGACGTTGGGATCTCTAACTATGACAGAGATGAAGCTCATTCTTGTACGTGCCCTCAGTGTAGGTTCTGCTGGACTTGATAAATGCACTGGGCACCTTTATACTTGCATGTTGGGCCCGGCTGGTTTGGTTTGTTTCTGCATCCTGGTGATTTGGGAAGTTCCTAAAAGAGCAGCGCTGTAGGTCTGAGTGGGAGGACTGTGCCTTTGGGGGCCCTCTAGCAGAGTGGAAGCAAATTGAGAAAATGTCCATGCGAAGGTCGTAATGGGAAAGCGACGTAATCTGTGGGAGTAATGTGGCAAAACCATGTGTGCCACAGTTTTGGATGGTTCAGTGTCCGGAACAGGAACAGTGTCCCTGTGTGAGAGGGGGAGGCTCTTTGTCACACACCACTATCTCTCTCCAGCTTTCCCTAGCAGACCATGTTCTTCCATTCCACAGCCTGATCAGGCCACTCCTGCTGGGGAGGAGGTCTCTCCTGCTGGGGAGGAGGTCTCTCCTGCTGGGGAGGAGGTCTTGGGCTCATGCTCAGGCCGTTCATGATCTTGGCACCATGTTCCTCCTACATTTGCATGTTAGAACCTGTAGATTGGTTAGCGGAATGAGCTCATGTGATGTAGGCGTGTTACCGGAGAGCACCAGCCAGGATGGTCTGCTAAACATAATCACATGGGGATGAATAAGCAGGAGGGAGATTCTGGCTAGTTTAGGAGGCACTGACCCAATGGAAGCGCTACAGAGGGGGCTGTCTGTGTGGAGGCTCCCCATCCTGGAGGGCAGTTTAGACGACAGCAGGCCGTCAACCTCTCTTCCTGCCATGGGCGAGACCAACCTTTTTGCTATTGTGGCTCCTCCCGAAGCACTAGAGCTTTTTGATTTTCTTGACCTGTTGACAGGAAGGTTCTCTTGTTAATCAGCAAAATGCCGCCGTCTGTTCCGGTTGCACGATGATGTTCGTCTTGCATCCGATGGTCCCTTCATGCTCCCTCTTTGTTGTGTTTCCCCAGAACGCTGCCACAGAAGCGGCTGAACCGGAGGTAAGCCATTGCTGGGAGTTTAAGTAGCAGCGGTGGGCGTGGCCTCCTCCTTCACTGCATCACACTGCATTAGCTGCGCTGTATATACAGCTTCCGGAGCAGGGAAGGGCCTGAACACAGTTAGCATGTCCTCGTGTTTATTAAATTCGAATAGCGGAGTACACACGATGCGACTATTTTGTTTTGCAGTTTAAAGTCCGACATGTTTATAAGGCATAAGGATATGTCGAATTTATACAGATCACCAACTGTTGGGTGTCACAATATGCCCCTCATTAGTAGTGGTATGCCTAAAATATTAATTATTAAAATATTAATCTGTTCACCAAATTTTGGGCTTGAGTAAATGTTTAAACCACCCCCCCGCCCCCCATGATTATGAGCATCAGCCGTTTGGAATTTCTTAATTTGTATTCATTTTTCTAAGGAATGGCTTCCTGAATGAGGAACTAAAGTGACCCTCTCTTCTTTTAGAATGTTTTTCTAGACTCCGAAGAAGGCCCCCGCCCCGCCCCCCCCCATGCTGTTCCCAGAGTGTCTGGAGGAGACGAGGGCAGCCAATTGGAACTGAGACCCAGAAAATGTGCTTCATCCTCACATCTCTTCCTTCACAATTCCTGAATTGCAGCAAAGTTTGCAGTTTGATTTGTTCTTGAGATTGATGACACATTTATCAAAGTCTTAATTGTTGAACTAGAGGGCGATGTTTAGGGTCGGTTCGTTGTTGTTTATGTTACTACTGCTAGGTGTAAAGTGTCCCCCTTTCACAAGTGTGTGACACGTCGGTCCTGTAGGAATCTATAGACACGTTTACAGACAGTAGTGCTTGTAAATATTTTGCAAATTTGTAATATATATTTTTATACAATGAAACTGTACTGTAGATTTGGTCTTTTCCTTCTCTCCACTTAGGAAGCGACGTTTAATTGTATATAATGTGTTAGGGACGGGGTTAAGTCTTCATTAGTTTCGGACTAGATGTCTAAACAAAGCGATGAGTCAGAGGTGCCCTTTATTTGGCGACTGTGCTGTGTTGTGGCTGGCAGTGGTGCTTGGCGCTGGATCCCCCCGCGCCGCCGTCTCCGTGCGAACGCCTCGTCTGTCATCTCCGCCTCCGAGACGACTTTCCCGAATGAACAGTATTAATTTGCTTGACTTTAAGTTCAGGCTCCCTGGCCTCATTTACTTGGAATGGCATAAAAAAGCATAGTAATAATGGTTAAAAACAATAAACTGTGTATTCCCTTTGACCTTTCTGCCGCCTCTGTTTCTCTGAGTCCAGTAAGTGTCACTTGAGTGAAATTGGGGTTTGGGACCCAGGGGAACCCTGGTGTATGGAGGTCCAGGTGTCAGGGGGGCTTTGATGAAAAGGCATCAGAATTAGCTTTTCATAGGCAATCTCCTGAATGGGATGTACGGGAAGATCTTCAGGCACTTCCTGTTCTGCTAACCATAAGCCTTCTTTGATGTCCTTGTTTGGCTTTCTCATTTTTTAGCTTCAATATAGGCAGTGTACCCCTACAAACTGTCTAGATTCCAGGCTCAGTAGATACTTCTCAAATATAATCTTGAAATGTGTTGACTTCCCGCTCGCTGCGGGCCAGTCTGACTGCATGATGTGGCCCGGAGAACGGCGTGAGCCAGCGGCTCCGACTCAGAGGCAGGACTCTGAAAACCACGTGTGAAGGCAGGGCTGCCTCTGAAAACAGGGTCCATGTGTTCGGAAGGCACCTGCGCTCCGGTCAGAGAGCGGCCTGCAGTGGCCGACGCCCCACCCGCATGCTTCCTCTAGGGACGGAGACTTCCGGAAAGGATGGATTAACACCTCTGCTCCAGGTTAGCTGCCCTTTAGACCCTAACAACTGCAAACTCCTGTGTTTTGGCACCAGCCCTTCATTTGTTAATATGCAAAGAACAGCCCTGAAGGGAGGTGTTAAAAATACATGTATGTCCCTATTTGCCAGCAGGACCATTTTGTCTGCCTCTGCTTGACTGTCGGTACACTGCACAAGCATGAAATCTGGCAATAGGGTGGCTTTGGCCTCCAGTCCGGCGCTGCTGTTCCCCCCCGTTTCCTGACGGGTACCTGGATCCCAGCCGCTCTCTCCAGGGGGGCTCGTGTGCAGAATCGGAATCGCGGCCCATTCTCACCGCTTACAAAAACATGGGCCTTCCCCCGCTGGCCAGTCAGCCGACCCTGTGGCCGTCTGTCAGACATTCAGCTCTTCTGTCAAGAGCAGAGATAATAAGTCCATCTCTGGCTTTGCACTTCCTTGTCCCGTTCCAAGTTCTCGGAATATGAGTGCTAGCTTAATAAGTGCTACATGGCACATAGAGGCAAAATTCTTTAAAAGGGGAAAATTGGCTATATATACATTTGTTTAAATAGCTTCTTGACTTCCTTGGCTGGTGCTTACACAGCCTGTGGTTAACAGTGACTTCCAGTTGCTGAGCTATTACTGAGAACAGGCAGACTACTATACAACAATGCTGTTTTCATATAAAACTTGTACCGATGGTGTGTTTAAAGGCAAATTTGGATGTGATTATGTGGGGGCAGGTAGCAGGAGGCTCTGAAACGCACCTGGAAGCATGTAGAGCCGGCCGGCATGCTGAGTGTGGTTCCATCGCTGTCTCCGTGCAGGGCCCCCATCATTTACATAATCCAGGGTTTTTTGGTAGGTCAGGTCCAAATGTTTGAGGTCCTGTGGATTTATGCTCATCAGAAAAATAAGTTAAAAAGATAAATATGTAAGAGCCTGACGCGTGTGTCTCTTCATGCAGCTGGTGTGTGGCTTTGCGGATTAGGGTGCTGGGTCTGTAATCAGAAGGTCGCTGGTGCGAATCCCATGGATGTCGCCTTTTGGCCCCAGAGCGAGGCCCTTGACCCCTGATTGCTCCAGGGATTGTCTGACTCTGCTTTCTCACTTTGGATTAACATGTCTGCTAAATGCCTTCTTGTGTATGTATGCATGAGCTCTGACTGACTGCGTGAGTCTCTGCATGTGTGCTGGACGTGCTGTTTCAGTTTGTATGTTTGTGTTCCGGCGTAAATGATCTTGTAGGACCCCATCGCAGGTTCGGGGTGAGTGAGGACCCCATCGCGGGTTCGGGGTGAGTGAAGACCCCATTACTCGGGGTGAGTAACTGCTCTGACAGCTCCGGGCACCAATGCTATATAAACAAGACTAGTCTTTTTAAGGAAACATCTGGCCAAAGCTCTTAGGACTGAAGAAGACCCCCCCACACAAACTGATTCACGGGGACCCTGTCACGTTGAGCTACCTGCTGGGGCGGTCATGTGACATGAAAGCATGTACAGAGTAAGCAAAAGCATAAGAGCCGCGCTCATAATGCGCTGAGAATAGTCCCAGCGGGCAGCTCAGGGTAATGGCTCAGATGAAACAGATTAAATGTATCGCCACCCTGAGGTCACACTGAGCCTTTGAAGCGTGCTGAGTGCGGTCGTGTGCGTCCCCTTTCAGACCTGCAGGAAGGCCGAGGGTCTCTCGGGCTCCCTGGTGTGGTTGTGCAGCACAGGGCTCTGCTTCGCCCATGCCAGCCTCGGCCTGTTTTCCTGTTCCTCCACTTTCCTCCACGTCATTTTTTTCCTTCCCATTGCTGTGGTTCTAGTGTAAAGATGAGCTGTCATATGGGGAACCAGGAGCTTCAGAATCATGGTGAATAGTGGAGGAGAGGCTGACAGATGGATGGTGACCCCTCTTCATGGCCCGCGGGCCCAAGGCCTTATTCAGCCTTGTTTTCAAAGCTGTAGGTTTAAGTGTCCTGTCCTTTTAATACACCTGTTCTGCAGAAGCTGATTGGCTGGCGAGTGGACTTTGCTGCTGGCTGCTTACCACTCAGAAAGAGCACATCTGCTTCTGGGAATAAATGATAAAGTGGCCAAACCATTGATTAAATGTGGTTTGGTTATTCGATGCGTGATAATGGTTATGTGTGCATTCAGCTAACTGGAGTTTAAATCATTGATTAAACTTGACATTGAGGAGTTTGCCGTTCCGCCTCTTTAATTCTGCCACTCAGTTTATTTTGTGGATTGAGTCTGAACTAAGCCAGTTTATTCGTGTTTGCAAATTTTCTAGGAAGCCATAACAAGCCCTCTGGTATGTCGCTTTTGACCTGTTGATTTCAATCTATCTAACAAACTAAAACAAGCTAAAATGAAACAAAATATAAATGTGTAACCTCTGTTTATGGTTCTGATTATTGCGGCCCTGTTTTGAAGAACACATTTTTCAATGTTGCGAGGTGTGTACATTACAATGTGAATTGTTAAACACTGCTTTGCATGTATGTGCTTAACAAGAGAGCTTCCTTCCTAGTGATTAAATTAACAACCGCAAATAAACACAGAGCTGATGTGACCCTGCTGCGAGATGGGAAAACTGTAGGATTGCTGCTGTTGATCTCAGAAATAGACAGACAGTGCTGGCATCATTCTCAGGAAGCAGCCCAATAATAGCCGTCTCAATCTGAAACAGAAGGGTCCAATTCTCTCGAGAGCCAAAGAAGTCAGAGGAGCAAGGCTGCAGGCAATCCCACAATTCCCTGGGGCAGCACAAGAGAGGACTGTGAGAAGGTCCCCCACCTATTCCACTGTGACGTTGCCTGGCTGTAACTTTCGTGTCTGTGGTGCTGCCCGTGTTGTTCATCCATACGGCACAGGTCCACACATCCGGTCGGTCTTGCGCTATCCGCGTGCGTTCGTGTGTGATAAAACCAGCTTTTACCGTGACCTAATCGGCACAGTTTGCAAATGTCCAAGCATTTCTTAAGCATGTCCCTGCATACATGAACTGTACAGGATGCTGTGTTCAGACCACAATTTTACCAGTGTCTCAGACAGCGAACAATCAGCCTGGATGTTCTTTCGCTGTCAGGCGAGTGGTGACGTCACGTCTTCTGTTGTGGCCTTGTTCACCTGAAAGCGACACCCCTCCCCACCATCCTGTGTGGTCCCCACACCCCCATCAGTCTCTTATTTAGAGTTGGGGTCTGTGAGGAATTACTGCACCATGAGCAATGGCAGGGATCTTTGAAGAGTTACTCAGTCATAAATCACGCTCAACCAGCCTGGAACACTGTCACCGCACCTGCATTTCGAAAACCTTATTTCCAGAGTGTCAACAGTTTGTCTAAATCAGGGGTTTCTCAAATGTTTATACAGAACTTTGCCATTAGGTAAAGCATTGTTCAGGTCTCATTTGTTCCTGCACTTCGGGAAGAGGATGTCAGGTATTTTTATATACATATAGGTTGTGTGCACCTGTGTTCATATTCCTCCCTTAAGGGACCATTTGCGTCCATTAAGTGATGGCAAATTGATGAATTGCAGCTGTCGTTCCTTTGCCAGTGATTCGATTGTGTTTATTAAGGCATGCTGTCGGCTGTCTGCACTGCTCTCTCTCTCCAGCAGGTAACTGCAAGCTGGCACACATGTCAAGGGTGGTATTTTGGATGGTAAACTTTGTACGTCACTCATCCTTCATGCGTCCGCGTTACGCTGCTCTCCGCCCTGGGCTCCGGAGACAGGGAAAATAAATAAATAAAGTGGAGAGACTCCATTCTCACGCTCTTGATCTATCGGCTCATATTTGCTGAAAACAGCTGTCAGATCGATGGTGATAGTTCATTATGAGATCGGGTGCCTTAAATGGGAATCTGCTCGCAACCCGTGTTTGTGTTCCAGGGGGCGAACGTGAGTCAGAGTAACGTGGCTCCAATGGCCAGCTGTCCCTTGGGGCAAGGGGGACATACCCGCCTGTCATGAGCCGTGGACAGGTGCCACATCCTCGTCCAGCCATGGAGCCATCTGTCACTCGTTCAGTCCTGCTCACTTAATCCCCCTGGTACACGTCCAGCGTTTGGACCAAAAAATGGGAACAAATATGTTCCGGATGTGCTGGAGTGAAACTGCACTCGCTGTCAGCTCTCATATGCCTCTTGGGTCGCCCCCATGTCCCAGCACGGAATGGGTTTGCGGCCCCCCAGCCGACCGTCAGAGGGGTCAGTGCTGGTTCTCATCTGTGTTGCATTGTAGCTGGGATCAGTGGTCACGTCCCAGAAGACAGGAAGAATGGCGGCAAAATCTATGTGTTGCCTGCACTTAAACCACAAGACTTGCATTTTATTTATTTGATTTTATGGGCACTTGTTTGAGAATGAGACCGCCCCAGGATCCTTCCTCAAACATCCGTGTCCCCATTCTCATCCGTCGCATGAAACCATA